CAGCAGGAGTCATCTGGGGAGACCTGGAAGCGGTATAGTAATCATGCAGGGGGCACACATTCCTCCTCTGTGTACCCAGCAGGGCTCTGGAGTCCTTCCTGTGATTACAAAAAATGAAACATGCTCACATCAGCTGGGTGGAGTAGAGCAGGTGGCAAGAGCCGCAGTACTTTGTAGTTTTACTGTCATCATCAGAATAGAAAGCAGAAGCTTTCTATTCTGATGATGACAATAAAACCACTTTTCAAAGCACAGAGGGGATGTCCATGATACATGCAGCAATATAATATACCTGTTTTATGAATAGAAACTTCTGATGGAGCTCAGCATTATGTATATCTGTTTGCCTAGTTCCTGTATTGTCCAGTTGTAAAGAGGCCATCAGCCACGTTGGCCTAAATATCAAGAAAAGAATAAAAAAATGTTTACAAAATCCATTCCTCACAAGGAATAAACTTATAGTTGAGAGAAAGGAAAGCTTTTACTTAAACCACTGCCAACAGAAGGAGAGAGAGGAAGAAGAAAAACCTAAACAGAATAATCTTGCAAAAAGAAAAAAAAGTTGGAATATGCAGCTTTTTGCTACATCATTAGAACTAAATTTAGATACTCATATATCAAGGAGCGTTTTACATCACAAAAGTCCATTTGAATTAGGTACCCATATATCAAGGAGTATTTTACATCACAAAAGTCCATTTGAAATCAGTGGTACCACTTGCAGAATAAGCACTTCTCAACATGAGCAGCCAGACAGTGAGCAACGATGCTGTAAAAACATCCTTGAGTGGCTGTACCCACACTGAAATGATCTGCCACTTTGAGGGTGGTGCTAGGACTTCTGGGGTCCCCTCCGATAGTTCTGAGATGCTCTGCAATTCTTTCTTAGTGAACTGTAAATGACATTGTAAATCCTTCAGGACACACAGGAAAAATTATAAGGGGACATTAGAAAATTATAAGCACTAGCCTGCATTACAAAGTCTGCACGTTAACCTAAGTGCATGCAAGATGGGCCAAGTAAGCCCTGAAGAAAGCACTATCACAATTTTGCCAGAGGGGCTGGGGGAATGCTGATCTCAACCAACAGACCCTAAGTCAGAGGTGTTAAAGATACATCCCATGCCATCCAGCCCCCTGGTGCTGGCCCCATGTGGAGGCAGCCTAGGACCTTCCTGCATGCCAGATCCAGAGCTTGTAGTTCCCGCTCTGGCCAGCCCAGGATTCAAGCCGTACACAGGGCTCACTCCAGGATAGATGCCATGCACACCATGGGTCCCAGAGCAGGCTATCCTCATGCAGTCGTGAACCAGTCACAGTGGGTGCTTAATCCAGCATCTGGGGTGGGAAGTGCTCTGTGGGTCCCTCACATGCCAGATTCAGTGCCTGTTGTTAGCAGTTTGGGACTGTGTGCCATGCAGCACCTGCTCTAGTTAGTCCAAGACCCATGTTGCTCACGGCATCCTCCCCAGATGAGCTGAAGCAGGCACTGTGTGATGCTCATATTCCAATCTAACTGGAGCAGGCTCTGTGTGTGGCTCACATCCTGATCTGGCCCAAGTGGTGACCATGTATGGCGCAGTCACTGACCGGCTAGAGTGAGCACCATGGACACTAGATCTGGCATGTGGGGTTGGGGTGGGCCAGGTCTGGCCCACAGGGCAGACCTCATGCCATTCCACCACCCCATGAACCAGTCCCAGGCCAATGACTTGGCCTGAAGGGCCAAATGTGTTTGACAGCCCTGCGCTAAGTGATTGTAACATTGAGTTCAGCGTAAAAGCTCAGCATCCCCACTTTGGAATATGGTTGTTGGTAGTGTCCATGTTGTGCCCCATAGCCGAGTTGTAAGAGCACTTTGCCAAGAAGTGGGGAAACCTGAATTCTAGCTGCCTCTCATTCCCAAACCAAAATTGTGTAATTTCTAGATTCCTAGGACAGAGCCCACATCTACCAGACTATGGGCTAGGCTCTTACTCCTGCTATAGGAACTGGCTCACAGGCAGCCAGAAAGGCAAGATTAAGTGGGGCAAGAGAGCAAGCTAAAAGGAGTGTGCCTCTGTTGTCTAGTGGTTATAGCACCCCTGTTTTTTCAAATCAGTGAATGTCTAATATAAAATGCATATACTCTGGCATCAGGGCCAGAGTCTTTGAGGAAACCCTGGGGAAAGCTCCATGTCCTATATAGGTGAAGAGACATACAAGTTCACTAAGGATGGGGACACTGAAATTATTTGAACTAGTCCCTCACCCAGCCAATAACACTCAGGTCTTTAAGCACCTTGAAAAATGGGAATAAGGAATGTTATGTTCCACTGTGATCCTCTTTTTCTATCACTGCTAGCCCAGGACTTGGATTTCACTGTGGCCCTTCATCTCCTTTGCTTGGGCTACATTAATAGATCTATTAATATATCTATTAGTCTGGCCATAAATAAGGGACTTTTAACTTTATTTATGTAGTCTATAATAAATAAGAATTTCTGTCAGTAATGCCCTATTCTGAATTCTCATTCAGGTGTAATGCCCGCTGTAGCTAATGGAAATCTTGCTCAAGTTGTTAGTCAAAAAGCAGGACCTCCTAGTGTTGGAGCAGACTGTGATTATATATATTAAAAAATTACAATATAAAGAAATGTAATTAAAACCATATTCATGAACAGAAAGTCACTTAACTATATATCAATGAAATCATTCTCCCTGCCTAGATTTCTTTACTCAGAAATAGCCTCTCAATTTATATATGAAAGAGCTCCATATATTTTGAAATTGGCTATAAGTGAGTGGATACCTGGCAGGATTTGTAAACTAAAATTCTGAGATTTCTAAACTAAAATATTGAGATTACCTTAACCAAAACGGGAAATCTGTTTTGTTTCTCATAAAGCTAACTTTCCATTGTATTCCTTGAGGGGGAGCTCCAGTCAATGAAAAGTGCCAAGTTTAAATCCATTGAGATGCAGGAAAAGAATATTTTCTAAAAATGTTATAGGGTAAGCCATCACTTGAGAGAACTTTCACCTTGCATGTTGCAAGACTACATGTCCTATTCTATATTCTGCCTTTCCAAAACATGCACTGTAATATATACAGAATGATGATCAGAATTTCTGTATTACTTTTACTGCTACATAGTGGGTTCAGGCATTTTGTGTTCTTTGTATATACAGGATTTATTTGGATCTAGTTATCCAGGCTTTTTAGCTAAAAGTCCACATATAAAAATCAAACTTATGTGAAATCCCTGCTCCTGTCCAGCAAAATAAACATTTCAGTTATATTAAAATGTTCTGCATTTTTTTTACTGTTTTGTGATGCCCAAGCAAAATTCTTTTCCCATCTTTCTTCTTTGAGGTGTTTCTGCTTTTTTAGTGCTGGCGATATGTCACCAACATTATGCAAGAGTACAAGAAAGGAATAAACCCACTTTTTGAATATAATACTGCTCATCAAGCATCAGATTTTAAAAGTTCTGATAGTACATTAGACTATTTCAGTTCCCACTTTTCTTCCTGTTAGTATGTTGAAAGATCTTTCTCAATTCAAGACTCATTTTTATATTGAAGTATGTTTACCATCTATTAATCCAGCTGTTATAGAACTTTTCTTGTCTGAGATGGTTTTCTAAAATCATTGCCACCACAAGTTCAAACAGAAGTAGATTTTAGGGCCTTGTAGTTCAATTTTTGATCCGGAGAGAAATTGGTAAGATGGAATGATGGTAGTGTAAGAATGATGATATAGCTGTGACAGTCCAGAAATTATGCAAGAGGCAAGGATTTCTTGGGGTGGTATTTTTTATCAGAACATCTACATAGTTTGGATAGAGTTAGACAAGCTATGTTATACTTGGCTTGTTCTGGTCAGACCTGAACAAGAATGTCTTGCATTTGAAAGCTCTCTATCCCAACTATACAGTTGGTCCAATAAAAGATATCACCCTAAGAAATCCTTGCCCCTAGCATAAGATGAAGTTAGTAACTTATGTATTGTTATCAAGCACACACAAGTTCTGTTTCCTGAATATCAGTAGGCTCTAACCAGGCAACTTCCTTTAAAGACACTTTTCTCTTAACCTGTTGCTCTTTTCAGAATGGGGGGAAAGGGAGCAGAGGGAGTTCAGTTTGGGTTTTTTTCAGCCCTGGCTGGAGGGTGGGGAGGATGTATTAGAGCTCCCCCAAGGTGTGTGTGTGTGGGGGGGGCGTGTTCCAGTTCACCCAACCCACCTTCCAGTGCTGACTGAAGAACCCCTAGAACAAATTCCCTCTCCTTCCCTTCCTCCGTCCCATTCTGAAAGAGGGACAGGCTGGCAGGGAGGAGGGCCCAGTGCTATGGGAAACTGGCTGCAGGCTACCAGCCAGTAGCTAGATTCTTCTGCCCCCAGGAACCAAGAGTGAACTTCTGTTTGATCCAGGGGTTCATTGTAACTCAGAACACTTCCTGCATAGTGTTCTCAGTTACAGCAGGGAACTGCACTTTTGTCAAGCAAATCTGCTGTGTCCCAGGAGTTGCTGTCTCTATCTGTTGTCTCTTTCTAGGTCTCTTGTGATCTCCCTCCTGTGTCCCAGTTTAGTACAAATTGTGTGACCCCAATTTCAGGCCCAATTTCCAGCTTCATAGCCCTTCCCCTAGGATCACAGGGCCTTTATAGGTAAGTCTGGGCATCAGCTCCACTGAGATGCTGCTTTATGAGGCCAGAGAAGCTGGGGAATTTAATTACCATACAAAGAAAAATGCTTTTCTCCATTCATTTCTACCCAGGAGAACTTTTACAATATTTTCTCCAATGCCTGATGAAGGGTGTTTATGCCCAAAAGTTGCAATTAAAGACATTTTTTTGCAAAAGTCTTGTTGGTCTAATAAAAGATATCATCTCTACTACGAGTCCTGATTGCCTTTTCCTTTAGACCAATACGGCTACAACCTGGATACCTTACTCCATTCAGGCGTTGTCTTTATTGTGTGTTATGTGGGTTCATTTACACATGAAATTAGTGTGATGCAATAAACTCCAGTACTGCTAGACAGCAGGTAGCCTCTGCATTATAGCAGCCTCATGCCCCAGCCAGCCCCATCACCATCTACTCATGCTTTTCATAACTACTCCGCTGTAGGATAGAACTTGTTCCAGGCAATACTATCCCATGGAGGAGTTAATTAGTTTACTCTGGCCTAATAGTTCTGGGCACAGCTACATGAGCCTTAATGTGCTGTAATTAAGGCATATTAAGTTTAGTACCTGTAATAACAGGTACTAAACTTAATGCGTCATAATCAGTGTTACTACACAGTAGCACTGGTGCATGTCTTTTATGTGACGCTAATGTGCAATAGACTAATTCTACTACACATTAGCGCATTAGCACGGCTTTTTCCATGAAGCACTAATGTGCAC